AATAAGTTTCCAACCAATCAGAAACCAAAGACTCAACCAATCATATCACAGATTGACAACCACAAAAGCCAACAAAATTAGTCGTGCATTGTGCTCTATAGTTCATTGCTTCGGCTTCACCCCTTCAAAATCGTTTTAGTGGGTCATGGTAGATATTGACTATAAACGGGAGTTAAACGCCAGACGCGATCAAGTTGAGGATATTTTTGAGTTTGAAGGATGCAAAGTTGGTCGAGGGACCTATGGTAGTGTCTTTAAAGCTAAAAGAAAGGGCGGGAATGATGATAGGGAATATGCTTTAAAACAGATTGAAGGCACTGGGCTCTCAATGTCGGCATGTCGAGAAATTGCCGTAAGCTAACTTATTTATTATTTATGGTTTTAGCTCCTTAGGGAACTCAAACATAAAAACGTTATAACGCTGCAGCGTGTGTTTCTCAACCATACAAATCGCCGGGTGTGGCTTCTTTTTGATTTCTCTGAACACGATCTATGGCATATCATAAAATTTCACCGGACTTCAAAAGCGAATAAAACTACCTTTGCTGTTTATCCGAATATGGTGAAAAGCCTGATGTACCAAATATTAAATGGGATCGACTATCTTCATGCTAACTGGGTTCTTCACCGCGACTTGGTCAGTTGTCCCCAATATTTCTTGTTGTTTTCTCTTTTTCCTTTTGGTAGCAAGGTATCTCGTTTTATAAAAATTACTTAACCATGTTTCTGCAACTACAAACATCATAGGCCACTGTAACTTTTGCTGACAAACATGTTCATGTACGTACATTATCGGTGCGTACGTGTACATCAGTGCCATACGTGTATCAGCGTCATCTTCATTGAAACTACTTTTCATTTTCCAACTCTCGTCCGTTTTATATTTAAAGCGTTATAACTTAATCTACCTTTTCGTAGGTTCAATCGTTCAAATTACTTGACATCTTGAAGTCCACTATTTTTTGGATTTTGTTTTTTAGAAACCTGCAAATATCTTAGTGATGGGCGAAGGACCCGAACGCGGTCGCGTTAAAATTGGTGACCTGGGGTTCGCCAGGTTGTTTTATCAACCGTTGAAACCACTAGCTGACTTAGACCCGGTTGTGGTTACGTTTTGGTACCGTGCACCGGAGCTTCTCCTTGGCGCTCGACACTATACTAAGGCCATCGACATATGGG